AGTTCTGGTGTGCTAATGTGCCTCCTTGCCCTGGGACTATAATCCAGGACTGTCCTTGTATCATATACTAATCCCTCAGTCTATATCAGCAGTGGTAAAGGCATCCAAATAACAGAGGGGACAAGACCAAAAGAGGCCTGCACAACTTACATAAGCTGGATGGGACTACCTTGAGCACAAATACCCATCTAAAACACTAAGGCTTTTCTTTGCTGCTCCTTGTGGTGATCAACCTCGACCCAAGACTGAACATTTCCCTGGGTGCCTTCTACTCTGAAGATATCTTGCAGTGAAATTGGGAGTGGAGTCAGTGCCCCAGCTGCTGGGGAGCCAGTGCAGCAGGGTGTACTCAGCAGGGTAGTTAGTGTGCCGCTTGTCAGTTCCACCTGCACCATGGTCTCTGCAGCTTATGAGTCCACTAAGGAAAACTACCCTTAGGTGAAGTCTGTGGGTGGCCTTGCTGAACAAGGGGCAAAGACTCTCACCGCAGCCACTGTCAGTGGGGCCCAGCTGCTCCTATCTAAACTGGAGTCTCAGATTGCATCAGCCAGCGAATATGCTCACAAAATACTAGACAAACTGGAAGAGAAACTGCCAATTCTTCAACAACCAAGTGAGAAGGTTATAGCTGGTACTAAGGAACTCGTATCTTCCAAAGTAACTGGTGTCAAGGATGCAGTCTCCAATACAGCTTTGGATGCCAAATATGCTGTGGCCAGCAGAGTGACCAAGGCTATGGATATGAAGAAGTCATCCAGAGTGGGGTAGACATGACCAAATCGATGGTGATTACCAGTGTCAACACAGTTATGGGCTCCAAAGTAGGACAAATGGTCCTTAGTGGCATGGATAGTGTGTTAGGAAAATCTGAAGAATGGGTTGATAACTATCTGCCCATGACAGATGAAGAGGTAACTAAGATTGCTAGCTCTCTAGAAGGATTTGACATGGCCTCTGTCCAGCAGCAGAAGGAGCAACAGGGTTACTTTGTTCACCTGGGCTTCTTGTCCTTCAACCTCCACCAACGGGCCTGCCAGCACTCCTTGGGTAAACTGAAACAGACCAATTATGTACAAACAAGTATAAATTCTGCAACTATTTTAAAGTGGAGAAATTCTTGGAATACAATAAGTATTCCAAAGGCAAAAGTTGAAGACTTATAGCCAACAATGACTTACCTTGCAAAACTCAGTATAATCATATAGGAGAGAAAATAGGCCTTTAATTAAAAAAAAAAGTAATTTCAAGCATTCTTGATGAAAAAACTGGAGGTGATAGTAAATTTTGGAAGCAAACACAAGCATCTAGACAAATTTAAAGAGAGAAATAAATACTTGAGCAATTAGGAGGGGCTAAATTATGATGGAGCACTTTCTAATAAGGGAAGAAGAGAAAAGCATCCCCTTTAAAATCCTAATGTCTTTGAAAATCTCAGAGAGTTAAGAAAAATGAACACAGGGCTTCAAAGTAGTTTTTGCTTTGGAGGAGGAAAAGAGGGAAAAGTGTAAGAGGTTATTCTTGAGGTAAATACAAAATTAACCATCATAGCAGTGAATGTGAATGGAATAAACATACTCATAAAATGGAGGAGGGTAACAAATGAATTAGGTAACAGAATCCAATATGTTTACAGAAAACATATCTGAAACAATGATTCACAAAGATATAAAGGAATGAAGCTAGAGTAGAATTTATTATGTTTTAGGCAAGTTTAAAAAAAACAGGGCTAGCAATTATGATCACAGGCAAAGCAGTAGTAAAAAATTGACATGATTAAAAAAGATAAATAAACAGGAAAACAACATTATGTTCAGGTGCAGCCTAGGTAATCAAGTAACATCAATGCTTAATACATGTAGACTGAATGATAAAACATCTAAATACTTGAAAAACTAGTTATTCAAATTCCAGGGAGAAATGGTCAATCTATAATAATTGGGAAGCTCAGTGTATTCCTTTCAGATCAAGACAAGTATGACAAAAAAGAAAGAGGCTAAGACTGATAAGTGGCACAGTGGATAGAGTGCCGAGCCTGGAGTCAGGAAGACTTAATTTCCTGAATTCAGATCTGGCCTCGGATACTTACTAGCTGTGTGACCCTGGGCAAGTCACTTAACACTATTTGCCCAAGTTTCCTCAACTGGAAAATGAGCTGGAGAAGGAATGGCAAACCACTCCAGTATCTTTGCCAAGAAAATCTCAAATAGGGTCATGAAGAGTTGGATACAGGGGCAGCTAGATGGAGCAGTGGATAGAGCACCGACCCTGAAGTCAGGAGGACCTGAGTTCAAATCTGGCCTCAGACCAAACACTTACCACTTACTAGCCGTGTGACCCTGGGCAAGTCACTTAACCCCAGTTGCCTTAAAAAAAAAAAAGAGTTGGACACAACTGAAAATGACTGAACAACAAAAATAGACCTAAATAGAACTTTAGAAAAGTTACTTATGATAGATTCATTACTAATTGGTGATTGGATTAACAATCCAAATGATCAAGTATTATTGATTGGAAATTGAAATACACATATTTCTCAGATGTGTATGACCTTTACCAAAAATTGACCAAATGCTAAGATTAAAAAAATCTCACAAACATGTACAGAAAAGCAGAAATATTAAACACTTTTGTTGACCGTAACAATAAAATTATAATCATTAAGGTTCCTTGAACAAAGCATTCAAACTTAAATAGATACAAAATAATTTAATCCTATAGAATCATTGGGTAAAAGAACAGATCATAGAAATAACATAATTTCATTTTTCCTAAAAATAACAAGACAATATACCACATCTTTGGGGTTGTAGCCAAAGCAGTCTTTAGAGGAAATTTCAATAAAATAGAGAAAGAGCAAGTCAATGAATTGGTCATTCTAATTCTAAAACAATTTGAAAAGCAACATTTTTTGTAAAAAATCAACCATAAACATAAATAGAATTTCTGAAAATCAAAGAAGAGAAAATTGAATTTATAAGTAGAGCTAGAAGTTGTTTTAGGGGGAAAATATATAAACCATTATCCAGTATGATTTTTAAAAAAGAGAAAGGAAAACCAAATTGCCTTAGTCAACAATCACACAAATGAAGAAGAAATAACTGGTACTGTTTGAAATTATTTTGCGCAATTATATGCTGACAACGCTGATAACTTAAATGAATGTATGGATATATGCAAATATTTAAAATACCCAGATTATCAGAACAAGAAGTAGGGAATTTAAATAGTTCAGCCTCAAAAAAGAAATTGAACAAGAAAATCCAGGACCAATTAATTTTATCAGGCATTCAAAGAACAATTCCAATATCACATAAATTGTTGGGGGGGAGGGGAATAGAAAAGAAAGACATCCTACTAAACCCCTTCCATGAGACAAATATGTCCTAATATCTAAACCAGGGAGAAAGAAAGTGGAGGGAGGGGAAAAAAACCTAAATTCATATCTCTAATGAATATTTATGTAAAAGTATTTAATATGAAGTGTTAGTAAGGAGGCTATAACAGCATATTTGAAAGATGACACCGGATTTATACCAGGAATGCTGGGTTGTTCAGTATTAGGAAAACTTCAAACACAATAGAGCATTTTCATACCAGAAACAATAAAAATGAAATAATTATTAAAAGTGCAGAAAAGGCCTTTTAAAAAATCATAACACCCCTTTATGTTAAGAATATTAAAAAACACAAGAATAAATGATCATTCCTTAATATTGATAAATAGCAGCTATCTAAAACCAAGAGCTGGAATTGTCTATAATGAAGAAATAATAAAGTCTTCCCAACAAGACTGAGAGTAAAGCAAAAATGTTTACTGTCACCACCATTATTTGATTTTGTCCTAGAAATTCTACTAAGAAAAAGAAATTGAGGAAATAAGCATATAAAAAAGGAAACAACTAAAGTTAACTAAAAAAAATTAATTGAAACAATTAACAACTTCAGTAAGAAAGGAGTCAAAGGACATGAAGAAGCAGTTCCCAAAAGAAAGAATACAGGTTATCAATAACCTTATGAAAAACTCTACAAATCAATGACTATGAGATAAATACAAATTAAAATGTCTAAGATTCTATATCACACTTATTAAATTGGCAAAAGAAAAATAACAGCACACTAATGCACTATTCCTGGAACTATGAAGTGGTCCAACCATTCTGGGAAGCAATTTGGAACTATACTCTAAAAGTCATTAAACTGGACCTACCATTTGACCTAGACATAGCAATACTATCAGATTAGTCAGAGGAAGATGGAAAAGGGTTCATTTGTACAAAAAATATTTATAGCAGCTTTTTTGTTGTTGTTGTTGTTGTAGCAAACAACTATAAACAAAACAGGTGCCTATCAACGGGGGAATAACTGAACAAAGTATCAAACATGAATGTAATGGAGTATTGCCACCCTATCAGAAATGACAAAAAGGATGAATTCAGAAAAACCTGGAGAGGTTTCTGTGAACTGATGCCAAGTGAAGTAAACAGAACCAGGAGAAAGCAATCTTCAATGTCTATATTTTGTAAAGAAAAGTAGCTTTGAAAGACTGAAGAACTATGATCAGTACAATGATTAATCATGACTCTAGGAGTCTGATAATGAATCATGCTCCTCACTTTTTTTTTTTTTTTTTTTTTGGTGAGGCAGTTGGGGTTAAGTGACTTGCCCAATGTCACATAGCTAGTAAGTGTTATGTGTCTGAGGCTGGATTTGAACTTAGGTCCTCCTGACTCCAAGGCTAGAGCTCTATTCACTGTACCACCTAGTTGCCCCTATGCTGCTCACTTCTTATCAAGAAAGTAATGAACTAAAGTTGCAGAGTGATGGATACGTTTTCATAGGTGGACAGCAATTGGAAAGAGATTATCTTGCACCAACTTTCTTTTTTTTTTTTTAAATTGTTTTTCCAATTATCAGGATCGTTTATAACTAGTAATTCTAGTTTTGAAAGTTCTTTTATACCGCCACTGTATTTTGACAGGATCATCTTTTTTTTTCTGTAGGACAGGATGTAGCTGACAGATGGTATAGTGAAATAAGAAATTATGACTTTAAGAGTCCAGGATTCTCCCCAGAATCAGGTAAGTATTCTTTGCCATTATTTTATCCTCCAAAATACAAGGTTTTGTTTTTGTTTTCCTTTAATTATGACGATAGGAAACCCAATAAGTTAACATTTCCAAGATTACATTTCTAATATTTCTTTCATTTTATCTTTCAGAAAAGCTAAAAAAAAGTTAGAAAAGGAAGAAATTTCACCACTTTTTCACCTGGGGTTTTGACTAAAACATTCTGGATCATTATAGAACTGCAGGTTTTCATAGTCTGTGATAATCTTTATATAGTAGAAGTTTTTAAACAAACACACTCAAAATTTAAGGGGGATCTATTCATCACACACACAATGTAACCTCCACTTGAAATCTTATGTTATACCTGAGTATCATAAGACTTGAGAATTCAAGGGGAATTTATATTGGGCAGTGCATAGATCACTTCTCAATTACTAATGTATTATTTCTGTCAATCTCTATTGAAATGATGGATAAAAGTTCTGTTTTATATGCTTTATGTTAATAAAGGTAGTTCATAAATGCTAGTTTTTGTTGGTCTAGAAAGGTTTGGCCAAAAAAAGAAACACAAGTTAGACCCAAGCATGAGATGTTAGAGGTGTGAGCAACAGAGGAAAAGAAGTCTAGTCCAACTGTTAATGTGAACCAAAGTCTCCTCTACCACAGCCCTATCCATCAATCATCCAGCCTCTGTTTAAAGAACTCTATTGATAGATAATCCATTACCTCCAAAGGTAGCCCGTTCCACTTTGACACAACTCTACTTTTTGGGAAATTTTTCCCTATATCAAGCCTACACTATTTCTCTGTAACTTCCACCAATTATTTCTATTTTTTTTCTTTTGAGGCTAAGCAGAGCAAGTCTTCTACATGACATTCTTTCATATACATGAAGATAGCCATCCTATTCCACCTAAATATAATTCAATTCAGTAAACATTTATTAAATACCTCCACTGTGCTAGGCCCCATTCTGGATCATTGCCTTGTGAGGGGGCTTGCATAGCTTAATGAAACTATGAGCTATGCTGTGCAGGGTTACCCAAGATGGACATCTTGTGTATCGTTGGACTTTAATGGGTGGGAGTGGGTAAGTTTAATTCAAGTGATCATTACATATGCTCCTGTGGTCAAGAATCCCTTAGAAGAAATGCAGTAGCCTTCATAGTCAATAAAAGGGTGAGAAAAAGCAGTACTGGGGTATAATCTCAAAAATGACAATGACATCTGTTCAAATCCAAGACAAACCATTCAGCATCACAGTAATATAAATCAATGCTTCAACCACTGATTCCAAAGAGACCAAAGGTGATCAGTTCTATAAAGATATACAACATCTTCTAGAAATAACACCACAGAAATGTCACATTCATCATAGGGAATTGATACACTAAAGTAGGAAATCAAAAGATAGTAGAAATAGCAGGCAAGTTTGGCTGTGAGGTAAAAAATGAAGCAAGGCAGAGACTAATAGAGTTTTGTAAAGATAACTCACTGGTCTTAGCAAACATTCATTTTCAGCAACCCGAAGGTGACTCTATACATGGACATCATCAGATAGTCAACATCAAAATCAGATTGATTATATACTTTGCAAACAAAGGTGGAGAATCTCTATACAGTTAGTTAAAACAAGACCTGGAGCTGACTGTGGATTGGATCATGAGCTTCGTATTGCAAAATTTAGATTTAAACTACAGAAAGTAAGAAAGACCATCAGACTGTATAGGTATAACCTAAATAACATCCCTTATAAATGTGAAGTGGAGGTGATGAACAGATTTAAGAGATTGGATATGGTAGATGGAGGGCCTAAAGAACTATAGACAGAGGCAGCAACCAAAAAACATCCCCAAAAAAAGGAAGAGCAAGAAAGCAAAATGACTCTCTGATGAGCCTTTACAATAGCTGAGGAAAGAAGGAAGGCAAAAGGGAAAAATATACCCAACTGTTTGCAGAATTCCAAAGAATAGCAAGGAGAGATAAGAAGGTTTTCTCAAATAAGCAATTCAAAGAAATAGAAGAAAACAAAATGGGAAAGACAAATTTCTTGGAGAAAATTAGAGATATCAAGGGAAGGTTTCATGCAGAAATGGGCCTGGTAAAAAAACAAAAACCTCAGAGACTTAACAGAGGCAGATGAGATTAAGAAGAGGTAGCAAGAATACACAAAAGAGCTATACAAGAAAGATCTTCACTGTTAACCACAGTGGTGTGGTTACTGATATAGAGCCAGATATTCTGTAGAATGAAGTCAAGTAGGCCTTAGGAAGCATTGCTAACAGTAAGGCTAATGGAGGTGATAGAATTCCAGCTGAGCTATTTAAAATCCTAAAAGATGATACTGTTGAATTGCTGTACTCGATATGCCAGCAAATTTGAAAAACTCAATAGTGACCACTGGATTGGAAAAGAAAAGTTTATATCCCAGTCCTAAAGAAGTGTAATGCCAAGGATGCAATGCAATGTTCAGACATTCCTTGTTTGAACAGTGGCCCTCATTTCACACATCAGCAAGGTTATGCATAAGATTCTGCAAGCTAGGCTTCAGCAGTATGTGAACCAGAAGAGCAAGCTGGTTTGCAAAGAGACAGAGGAATTAGAGACTAAATTGCCGACATTCCCTCGATTGTGGAGAAAGCAAGGGAATTCCAGAAAAAAACATCTATTTCTGCTTCATTGAGTACACTAAAGCCTTTGAGTGGGTGGATCACAACAAAATTGTGGCAAGACCTCAAAGAGATGGGAGTACCAGATCATCTCATTTGCTTCCCAGGGAACCTGTATGCAGGTCAAGAAGCAACAGTTAGAACTGAACATGGAACAACTGATTGGTTTAAAAGAGTACGACAAGGCTGTATATTGTCACCTTATTCATTTAACAGAGTCCATCATGTGAAATGTTAGGCTGGATTTAAAGCTGGAATTAAGGTTTCTTCTCAAGAAATATCAACAATCTCAGATATGCAGACAGTACCACTGAAATGGCAGAATTTGAAGGGGAATTAAGAAACCTCTTGAGGAGGGTGAAAGGGAAGAGTTTAAAAGCTGACTTGAAGCTTTAACATAAAAAAAAAACCCAAGAGCTATCTCTTCTCAGCAATACAACGATCCAAGATAATTCCAAAAGACTAGTGATGAAAAATGCTAACCACATCCAGAGAAATAACTGGATTCTGAATACAGATCAAAGCATACTATTTTCACATTTTTGAGGGCTTTTTTTCTTTCTCACATAGTTTTTACCTTTTGTTCTGATTCTTCTTTCACAACATGACTAATGTGGAAATATGTTTAACATAATTGTACATGTATAATCTGTATCAGACATCTTGGGGAGGGGAGAGGGAAGGAGAAAAATTTGGAACTCAAATTTAACAAAAATGAATGTTGAAAGGTATCTTTACATGTAATTAGAAAAAAAAAAACCCTACTTCTTGGCAACAGGTCCCATCACTTCCTGGCAAATAAATAGAGGTAGAAGAAATGGAAACAGTGTCAGAGTTTATGTTATTGGGCTTAAAGATTACTGCATGTGGCCACTGCAGCCATGAAATTTAAAGACACTTGCTCCTTGGAAGCAAAAGTATGACAAATCTGAACAACATACTAAAAAGCAGAGACATCATCACCTTGTCAACAAAGGTTCCTATAAACAAAGCTATGGTTTTTCCACTAGTAATACATGACTGTGAGAGTTGGACTATAAGGAAAATTGAGTGCTGCATAATCGATAGTTTTTAATTCTAGTGCTGAGAAGACTTTTGAGAGTCCCTTGGACAGGAAAGAGATCAAATCAGTCAATACTTAAAAGAAATTAATTTAGTCTATTCATTGGAAGGACAAATAGTAAAACTGAAACTTAAATTCTTTGGTCACATGATGAGAAGACAGGGCTCATTAGAAAAGACCCTGATGTTGGAAAAAAATTGAAGTCAAAAGGAGAAGGGGATGGCAGAGGATGAGATGGACAGATGATGTCATAGAAGCAATGAGCATGAGCTTGGCCAAATTTAGGGAGATAGTGGAGGATAGACAAGCCTGGCATGCTGTGGTTTGAGGGTCGTAAAGAGTAGGACACAACTGAACAATAACACCATATGCCAGGCATTGTGCTAAGCACTGGGAATACAAATAAGAAAAAGAAACAGTCCCTGCCCTGAAGGAGCTTACAATCTAATGGAGGAAGACTACACAGAAAAGGAAACTGAAAAGGGAGGAAAACAGGGAGTACCTAGCTCTGGGGCATGTTGTTCCCATGGAATAGAGTGGAACAGAGCAGCTGATGAAAAATGGAGTTATCAGGAAGGTTATGAGCCATTATAAACGAAGGCATTGGTAGGAGCTTAGTGCTCTGCGCTCACTCCAGTTAGAAGGGAGAGACAACTAATGCTGAGTTGAAAAAGTGTAGAGTTTAAAAACCTGACTCAAAATCTTTTCATCTCTAAATTAAACACCCCAAAGTTTTTAGATGTGGTCTGAGGAGGGCAGAGTGCAACATGACTTTCCTCTTCGTTTGAGATAATGCAGCCTAAGATCTCACTAGCTTAGGTGGCTTCTGTGTTAGACTTTTCACTGCTAGTAAGTTTGCAGTTCACTGTAACCTCAGATCTTTTTCAAACAAACTATTATATAGTAATTTAGTCTTGTGACTTTTTTTAAACAAACCCAAGTATAGGACGTTGTTCATCTTTAATCAAATTCCATCTTATTAGATTTGGCCCATCATTCTGGCCTGTTAAAATCTTTGTGGGTCCTGACTCTGTCATCCAACATGTTAGGTGTTTAATGGAACTCATAGCTTCTAGCTTCTTATTAAAATTTGATAAGCATGCTTTCATCCTAGTCACTGATAGAAATGTTGAAAAATGGATCCTTGGAGCATTCTCCTAGAGACCTCCTTTCAAGAATTAGTCCTACCATTGAACTATGAATTCACATAACTGTATCATCATTTACCCCCATGTCTTTCTATCTTGTCCACAAGAATAATATGATAGACTTAGATG